GTAATAAAGAAAACACTTTCTGTTGAAATTTATCTATTGACCGAATTGCCAAAGTAAATAGGTGCCGATTATGTCCGGCACGTAGACAACTTGACCTTGACGCCACCTGTCTCTACCGGAAGTGACGTACAAACTCTCATATACGGATTAACAAAAAACTTATGACATTTAATCTTTCTTTTGTACTTTCTACACCTATAATAGAAAAGAACAAAATATTATAAATATATTTTTACACAAGTCCAAACACAAGCTTCCATATTATTTGGAATGGTAACTACAAATGTATTAAAAAATATTACCGAAATTTTGTAATTTTTCTTGTAAATTGAAACTGATAAAAAAATGCGATGATTAGATTTATTTATTTTTTAATTGTTTTTTAACGAAAACATTTTCAAAAATTCTTATTTCAAATATACATTCTCTTTTTTACATCACCTATTCTATGCATTATTTAATTTCCACATACCCTCATAATTTTTTAAACTCTGCTATTTTATTCATTTAAATATCATAAATATTTTACCTATAATTGTTTTATTTTTTATCATCTCTTGAATATTTTAATGAGAATTCCGAATAGGTTCAAAAACGAATCAAAACGATTGTAAAGTTTTTTCATTAAAGTAAAAATCTATCAATCATCACAAATGAAATGAGTAACATATTAAATCTTCAAAGAATTTCAATAGTGATATATTGAAGAGATCAAACGACCCGAGATCGACGATTCAGGGTAAAGTCAATATAACAAAAATACACTCCTCCATCTACGTATTTACATATAAATAATAAATATCCATTCTATATGTATTCACATAGGATACAATTTCGATTAAACAACACAAAAAATTTCAAACTTACCTTTTTTAATCTATATTTTCAAATAAAAAGATAATTAATCTTTAGTTGAAAGCCATTTTATAACCAATTAAACTTTACGATGTCACAGCCACAATAAAATAAATATCACATTAGAGAAAACAACGCTAATTTACACGACAAAACAATATTAAACATATTTCGTAAAAATTATGATTTATAACACTTTTTTATAGTCAGCAAACTGAACAAATATTCAAATTGCCGCGAAAATTTACGCGTCAAGCTTTTTTTTTGACATTTGATAGGTACACAGCAAAGCGTGCGACGCGCGATGAACCGTGCGCTATACTGAGTCTATGTCTGTGATCTACTCTATGGCACGGATGTCAGGATGGGGCCGATCCGCAGGCGCGATGCAACCTGACCTCGGAAACTTTTTTTTTTAATTGAAATAGTATACAGCTTTGTTTTAATGCCTTTTAATAAGTATTTTCTTCGTTCAGCTTATGAATATACAAATGTTTATGCCGCACGTCGCTTAGTGTGGATTTATTATGCTAAATCTATGCTAAGCAACTCTCTTAGTGACCAATAACCGACTCTGAGATAATACATTAATGAAAAAATTGCTAATAAAAGCTAGTAACCTATATTCAATAAACATTTAGTTATAAGAGTTATAATTATTAAACTAATCATTGAATTTATAAAATCCATTTAAAATCAAGGTCAGTAAATAAAAACGTGATAACAAAACCCTACATCCTACTACTATAACCTATAATATAATTTCATGTAAGCCACTCTATGACTATAGAGAAACGGACTAAGTAAGAAGCCACAATCCGCGCCACACCTTTGTACTAAAATAAATTCTGCCACTTTTTAACGGAGGTAAAGTAACAAATACACATGCCTATCATGCTCTTACGTAAAATCGCATCTTTATGAAAGTACTAGCTGTCGCCCGCGACTCCGTCCGGGCTGAATTTAAAAAAAAATTAATAAGTAGCCTGTGTCCTTCTAGAATATGTTCTTCATCTGTGCCAAATTTCATCAACATCCGTTGAGCTGTTCCGGAGATACCTTCTAGCAAACATCTGTCTAAATTTAGGCATTTATAATATTAGTATTATAAGATAATTAGTAATTTTACGCGCGCTTGGTCCTGCCTCGCAAAAGTCAAAGAAGCCATTAAACGTCTCCTTGTTCTGTAATGGCGAGCAGAGTACGCAATTGTTGTATTTATGGCGCGAATATTAGTTGACAATGGGCCGCACGCGACTACCCACTGACTAAAAGACAATCAACATCGTATCACCTATTCATAACCATACACGTAATATGTAATCGTTTCACTGGTAATTTGTTTGTCCAAAAACCGAGTCTGGAGATGTACATCAAAATGTTTTTGTTATAACTTATTTAGTATGTTTGTTGAGTTTTGATTACTTATCGTTTATTTGTGAGAATAAAATCTTTAAGACGAAATAGAGATAATGTTTTAATGTTTTAAACAGGGATTTTGGTCTCATAAATCCAAAGTTAGCGTTCCGCTAAGTTAAAACTAATATGATCTTTCATTTATGTTTTCAGCTGTGAAGACTTACGATATTAAAGATCTTAAGTTATATAAGAAAGAAAATAGTTTTTTTTAATTGTGCTAATGTTATAAAGAGGAAAGATTTGACTGTTTACTTTGAATAGGTTACAAAACTAAACCTAGAACTGAACCGATTTGAAAACTTCTTTCACTGTTGAGATTGACACTATCTCCAAGTGACATAGGCTATACTTATTATAGATTTTATTATTACGACCGGTCGAAGTCGCGGGTAACTGCTTGTTTATAATAGTAAAATAGTGTATTATTAAAACAATAATGTGCGGGAACGAGAGATTATTAAACCTTCTTTCCCTTAAAATGCTGAATATAATCGAGTTATCACTTAATATCTTGATAAAAGCTTTAGTCGTTTACCTCTTAAAATTTAATGCTCCAGTTATTTAATTTAATTGACCACATAAACTATGGAGTGTTACATTTTTATAACTAATCAATACGACCAATCTTCCTTTCGAAGTTGTATTACTGTCATTTACAACTTAGCCAGAAAATCTGTACATTTTTAGTTTCAATTGTGACTAGATGCCTAGATTTTAGCTCGTTCAGATTTTTTTTGGGAAAGCGGCAGAACTGCCGCGACGTTTAGTTGTCTAAAATAAAATACTTTATTTTACACAACTAAACGTCGCCGTCTTTTTTGAGTGTTAATTCGTAATAAAATGTCCCAACGTCACAGTTATCGTGATATCTAATGTATTGTAAATGCAAATCGTTAATCGCTACACCATCGGTACACCGCAAATCCATCGTCCACAACGAACGGTCGACGTGTTCGTAATAACAATGTTCCAAGTCAACTCCTCAATTCTTATGGCACCCTGGTAACGTTAAGTGCCATTAATATCAAGGTTCTTTTAGATGTTTTTCTCTTGTTTTGATTTAAAAAGAAATAGAAGGGAAGAGGTGTACGGGTAAGGTTTATACTCCGAGTTCAAAGAGATGTGGTTGGCTTAGTAGAATGTTTTTTATTACGTTAATATTTATATATACTGTAAGATATTTAATTTACGCGGCAAAAGCCTTCAGGGAAAAGGATCGTAAAAATTACATATGCGGTTAATTGTAAATTACCAGTTACCTGTAATATATATCTGACTAGCAATCGCCCGCAAATCCGTCCATGTGAGAAAAAAACTTAATTAGTCTATGTGTTCTTCCAGACTATGTTCTTCGTCTGTGCCGAATATCATCAAGATTAACCGTTCCGGAGATACGTTCTAATAAACATTCATCCATCTTCACTTTCACACTTATAATATTAGTAAAAAGTAAGACAGACACTTTAACAGTGGTAGAGCCTGCTTTAACATCTTCGCACGAATTCGCCCGGTGAAATACAACGACCACACAGAAGACAGGCGTTAAGTGGAAGCAATTTCGCGTTTCGTCTGATGAGTGTGCGTTCCGGAGGCCTAATTTAGTCCTCTTTTCCTTCCCACCCTTTTTCTTATAAGGGAAGGATGGGAAGTGGAAGTGGATTCCGGATGAGAGGATGCATGGTAAGGGAAAATATTTTCTTTCTGTGCATCCTCTCCTCCGTCGATTAAAGGTAGGCATTTGCAATTGCGTCTATGGGCAGCGGTCACTTTGCTATTTCAGCGATTTCAGGTGGCCGCTCTCTCGTTTGCCACCTTGTGATATAAAAAAAGTAACATTAAAATACATACATGATATTCAAAGTATTATTCGAACAATCGTTTAAATCTTTAATTTCATTCTGTTGGTTATGAAACACCACAGATGTTTATTTGTAAGTAACAATTAACTTAAACAAAACATAGAAAATATTTAAAAGAAGGTTCGCCTAAACCTAGCAATTTTTATTTTTGAATTTATAATATTGTAGTTAAAAAATAAATAATATATTGAGTGTAATTAAAGAGCTATTATGAGAAAATATAGGCCGTTATTTACACAGTTTAACTTAAACCTTTTTGCTGATATTTTAAGTACAAAAACTTTGTTAAATCATTTATTTTGTCTTGTAAAACTTAATTCTCTTGAAAGATAAGATTAGTGTTTGACAGTAATCGGATTACGATTTTGGCACGACATTTATTTCAGCAAAATACCAATGTAAAAGAAATCTTACTCGTCCATAAAAGTTGTTAATTATTCACTTTACAACTTCAAATCTATACTAAGCGAATATCTGAGAGGTCAATTAACGTCTATGAGAGAAGTAAGCAACGTCTTATTGAGAATTATGATTGAAGTTTCTTTTAAAGTAAAAAAAATACTAATATTATAAATGGGATGGATGGATGGATATTTGTTTGAAGGTATCTCCGAAACGGCTCAACGGATCTTATTAAAATTTTGCGCAGACGACAACATAGGCTACTTATTAAGTTTTTAATAAATTCCGCACGAACAGAGTCGCGGGCGACAGGTAGTTTGTAAATGAAAAGAAACCTAATATTACCATTGTAAACGTAACTTAACTTTTCATATTTAATTATACTTTGAACACGTCAAAACAATATAAATACGACAACCTTTATTTATTACGGAACAAAAGTTACAGTCGCATACAGTATACAGCATGTCTTTTCTAAGGGAATATTTCTTTAAGAAAAGTAACGTCGAAACGTTTTCTGAAAATCAAGTGGGTATTAAGAATATTTAATTTACTTTTTAAGAAATATACGAGTAATTAAGAATTTAGTTTTTATAAAAATACTGCCTATCGCCCGCGATTCTTAGACCTACTGAATAAATTTCATAAAAATCGGTCAAGACGTTACGAAGGAGTATGGTAACAAATATTGTGACAAGAGAATTTTATGTACAAAAATTCTGCAATAGTATGAAAGAACATTCAAAGTCTATAGATTATTCTTGGTTGCATTTTATTATATGTGGTAGGTTCTAAGTAAGGGTAGAGTATAAGGGCCCCTGTACACTGTCTACCCATAAGACATAAACGTAGACTATTTCATGCAGATCTTAATGATATTCCATTCATAATTTGTTTTTGTTACAGGAGTTAAAATTCGATAAGAAAGAATACGACGCATCTTACGATCTTTCAAAGACAATGTTTCGATTGGTCGGTCTCCGGTTAACCCATAACGATCCGCCATTAGCAAGGTATTAACCCTTCAAACTTCTAAATATTAGATAATCTTACTTATATTATAAATGCGAATGTTTAAATGGACGGATGGATGGATAGATGGATGTTTGTTTGAAAGTATCTCCAGAATGGCTGAATGAAGGACACATAGGCTACTTATTAAGTTTTTATTAAATTGCGCGCGGATAGAGTCGCGGACGACAACTAGTTTTTTATAATAGAATGTTGTTTATGTAGAGGTCAAGAAACCGTTCTTGGGGATATCTAATTGGACGAAATCTTATAAAGAGTTTCAAAAAAGAACATGTAAGCCTGAAAATCTAAACTCTTTTTTAATGTTTCATTTCCCAAAATGTTATTTTTAAGGATTCCAATAACTCTATTCTATAATATTTTCATAATCTGTTTATTGCAGATTGCTGTGGAATGCTTTTTACTTATTCGAAGCTATCAACGTGCTATTGGCGATGTTCCTTGAGCTTATCAAAATGAAGCAAACAGCACGCGACGGTTCCTTTATTGAACTTTTCACTATGATGCCCTGCGTTGGATATTTGTTACTTTGTTAGTATTACTTCTTAATGATGTTAAAAGAGCGTTTGGGATTTCTTAAGAAGGCCATTTTTTGCTAAGTGAAAAACTAAGATTTGATAAAATAGATGTAAATGTGACTCATTAGAACTTTCGTTCTTAAATAGAGAACTACAGAAGTATTATCTTTCTCCCAACGACTAATCTTCCTTTACTTTTACCTACATTTCAATTATTTCGCATTCTTTGACTAGAGTAACGATGTCAGACTATGAGACTAAAGACTTCCTTACTTGCTTATAAAGCGTCGCATAAAATACGTCAAAATAGACTAATATAGCGGGTGCTAAAAAGTCGTGGAAGAATCACAATTTACTGAAAATTGCCAGCAAGGCAATTTGATTATTCATTTTGTTAAAGAGCTTACTTCTTTCGGTCGGCGATCATTAGGGTAGCTTAGATATACTCTCGATAGCATAGCTCTGAAAAGCTAACGGGTACTATTTCCAAACTGGCGTTGATAGGCAACTTAATATTGATAAAGTATTCCCTAAGGTTCTGTGAAATCATACAAGATACTATACTATCGTCCCGTCTATGAGAATCTTATCACTGAGCTACGAGACATGTGGCCACAGGACGCGGTGACGAAGGAAGAGTACGACATAGTGCGTTTGGCACTTGTTAGATTGAGACGCAATATCAAAGGTAAATATGTTCTTATGTATTTGCTAGAGCCCTAGGACATCCTCAAGCCAAAATAACGTAAATTCAGCTGTTATCTGAACCTGAGAATTTTATGTCAGTAAATTGTAATATAATCATACTAATATTATAAATGCGAATGTTTGGATGGATGGATGTTTGTTTGAAGATATCTCCAGAACGGCTTTATGGATCCCACTGAAATTTGGCACAGATGTAGAACATAGTCTGAAAGAACACATAGGCTACTAATATTTTTTTTAGTACCGCTCGGACGGCGTCGCGGGCGACAACTAGTGAGGCTATAAATGAGGCTTTAACTTTTAGCGGGCGATCACATAATCTAAAACTGTTTTTATTGCAGGTTACTATTTCTGCACATTGGCTCTTTTTATATTATTATCAGCGCCGCCATTCACGGCAATGATAAAGCGCGCTATGGGTCAAGAAGTGCCGTTAACGCTAGGATTCTCCTACTGGTTTCCCTTCGATCCATTCCAACGAGGTCGCTTCGAAGTCATAGCTGTTATACAAACATGGCATTGTAAGAAATATCACTTAAGTTTTTTACTAAATTAAGCTTGATCTGAGTAAAGTTTCGACCGTCGAAACATGCATACATCCCTCTCGATTTATATTAGATAAACAAAGACAGCAATATGTTTTTGTATTATATAGTCCCTCTACTTTTTCCCAGCGAAATATATGCGACTAACGAACTAACTATTGATGGGATAGTATTTAAAAATGTTAAAATTAAGGTCTTGTTACACAATGTCCGTGTAAAGTGCTGGATAACTTACTAACAAATAAATTTACTGACAAAAAATAGTCTGCGACAGCTTTTTTTGAAGATTGTGAAACGCCAACAACGACTTTATATGATTAAAAGTTTTAACTGTTAGGAAGAAAATCCGAGTGTTCCGGTGTATCGGCGGAACACTAGCCTTATTAAAATGTCAACGTTTATGTCTCCTCACTAGTCATTCTGACACTAACTTGGTAACAAAAGCGCGCCATTCGCGCTTAATGGTTCTAACTCGATATATAAACACGGCTAAACACTCACGTATATTCGTCCGGTGGCGGTACCGACTAGTTTCGAGCTCACGAGCGACGGGCCGCGTCCGCGAAATAATACCAGTACCACTCATCCTGATGAAGGGCCCCCGATGGGCTCGAAACTAGTCGGTGCCGCCACCGGACGAATATACGTGAGTGTTTAGCCATGTTTATATATCAGTTTAGTATAATGTCTCACGAAAGTTTGAATAATTTGATTCTAACTCATAATGTCTACAACAACCTTTTAATTCAAGCCTAACTTGGACATAGTGAACAGGCACATTTGTTTTTTACTAGCGTATAGTTTGATTTTTATTGTTTCCAGGTTTCCTCGCGCTTGGTTTCATGCTGCCCACAGACGCATTATTCTGGGTATTCCTGAGTCATATTACCACTCAATTCGACTTGCTTGCTATTAGATTAAAGAAAATGTTTTACGTGCCATTAGATGAACAGCTTATTGAGAAATATCCACTTGGTAATATGCTTTTATTGTTACGTTATAAAAACACATTGATGCCATGATTTTCTAGTATTATATGAACTGTTGATGTTTGTACGATTGTTGTTTGCGAATTAAAGTTTCAACAAGGAGGTCCGTCTAAAATATCCAAAGATTTTAATTAAAAAAAATTAAACGACCAATTATTTTAATTATTATGTTTTTAACTTGTTTTTTTTTAACATTTAGCACAATACAGTTTGCAATGTGATACGGATAATATTGAATTCAATAACAACAACGAATCGGAGAAAGTTTATCAAAAGAAATTGGTCGATGTTATTTTGAAACATCGTGCCTTGATCAGGTAATTAATATTTTTATCCAAAGTACTTTAAAGGTATAACAAAACTTCCGTACTAACCATGATTTTCTATTACCTAAATACTTTTAGAAAAAGTATAGCCATCTCTCTAATTAAAAACTAAAGTAAAAAACTTTTGGTGTAAAATTTAAACTAATATTTTTTTTATATCATAAGGTGGCAAACGAGCGAGCGTCCTCCTAAAATCGCTGAAATAGCAAAGTGACCGTTGCTCATAGACATACGCAATTGCATATGCGTTGCCTACCTTTGATCGACGGAGTAGAGGATGCACAGAAAGAAAATATCTTCCCTTCCCATGCATCCTCTAATCCGGAAAGTCCACTTCCACTTCCCATCCTTTCCTTATAAGAAAAAGGGTGGGAAGGGAAAGAGGACTAAATTAGGCCTCCGGGACGTACACTCATCAGGCGAAACGCGGAATTGCTTCCACTTGACGCATGTCGTCTGCGTGGTCGTGGTATTTCACCGGGCGAGCCGAGCCAATTCGTGCGAAGATGTTAAAGCGGGCTCTACCACTGTTAAAATATTAGTCCTCCGGTGTGCACACTCATCAGACTAAACTCGGAATTACTTCCATTTGACGCCTTTTCTTTGTGTTCCTGGTATTTCACCGGTCGGGTCCGCAAAAACGATGTTATTGTAGGCTCTACCACTGTTGAAGACATTTGAAGACTAGAATAAGAATATAGTGTTACTAGCTGTCGCACGCGACTCCGTCCGCGAGGGATTAAGAAAAACTTAAATAGTAACCTCTGTGTTCCAGACTATGTTCTATATCTATGCCAAATTTCAGCGAGATCCATGCATCCATTCTGGATATTCCTTCTGAAACATACATCAATTTATCCTTTTTTTTAAACACGCTCTTTTACGCATATCGGGTCAAGCCTCGAGGAAAGCCACTCCGGTTATGTGGGACTCTCTCCACATCCCTAAAGGGACAAGGAGCCTACCCACCAAAACCCCCTCTGGTTCCCTCGACTCACTGTTTACCGGGGTGTGGGCACATGTGAATACTCTTCGCACACAACATCAATTCATACTAACATTCGCATTTATAATATTATAATAATAAGATTTGTACATCTGATTGTACTTGTACGACGTGTAAACTTATGTATATTGCTTTCAACAGGATGTCTGGCGTCGTGGAAAATCAATTCACATTTTCTCTTCTCATAAATTTCATTAATAGCTCTATTATTATTTGCTTCTGTGGATTCTGTTGTATGGTAAGTACAAACATATCTTTAACACGTTTATTTGATCATAACATCAACCGTTTAATCGTGTGCCACCACGGACTAAGTATTCACAAAAACAACATTAGTCTGAGTGTATTCAATTTTTTTTAATTCCAGTTTGTAGAGAAATGGAATGAAATTACGTATAAATTTTTCTTGACAACCGCCACTCTTCAAATCTGGCTAGTTTGTTGGTATGGACAAAAACTTCTAGACTCCGTAAGTAAAACCAATTCCTAGGTTATTTAACCGACAATCGGCAATATTTTCGTTTGATTTCAATAATTGTTTAATTTAAACTAAAAACTTAAATTATAAGACAAAATTTTCGTCTTTCATTTGCTATGTCAACCGAGATACTGTTTGCTTATTTTGGTTATTATAAAATTGTGTATGTTTTCAGAGTCAAGGAATCGCTGATGCTGTATATTGTAGTGGCTGGTATAACGTACCGCAACGTGTAAAGAGTTTCCTAATTATTATATTTTATCGGTATATTTAAATTTTAAAAATTAATTTGTTTGTGAGATGTGAGACAAGTTACATAATTTGTGTTATTTTCCAGTGCTCAAAAAGAGGTGTACGTTACTACATATGGATTTTCAGTAATTTCTATCGCAAGTTATAGTACAGTAAGCAAATAAACTTATTATTATTATTTTACTTAGTACAGACTACATTTTGAATTTTTTGTTTTCAGATTTTGAAAACTTCTTGGTCTTATTTAATGCTACTAGTCAACGTATTTAAGAAATAAATTACATTGTAATGAAATGTAGTTTAACTTGAAATAAAAATTAATTTGTCTCGATGTTAGTTGTTTTTTTTTTCTTTCTTTTGTTAGTTTATTACCTTTTATATCTATCCATTAACCTGCCCTTAAAAATAAGTTAAATACGTAAAAGTATATAATCTTCTTCTATAATTCAATTCCATAACCTTTTTTTAAAACTCTGCTATTTTATTTACTTCTGTTCCTGTACTCTTTGCTGTCCCTGCTCTATATATGGCCAATCAGTGTCATTGTCAAACGACAAATTGTCATTCTCAAATTGGCTAGCGGCAGCGGCGTACTTCTGCATTGTTTTTTTTATAAAACATCTAAAATTTGTGAACTTACTAATATGTCTAACAAAAAGAACAAAGATATCAAGATAGACGATAGTGAAAGTGAAAATGAAAACGAATCTGGTAGCGACAGAGACTCTGATTTAGATTCTGACGGCAATTACATCGGAGACAAGGTAACCTAAAAACACATGGCGCAATAAAAACACATCGAATTACAACTTAAATTGTGTTAAAAACGATTCTAAGCTAATCTATTGGGTTTTATATTATTTCTATAGACATACATAGACTGACACGTCTGAATTCTCTATCGTATTTCTGAATCATAACAAATGTTAACTATCAACAAAGATTAATGTTATTGTTCCGCGTTTATTCATTGTAATCGTTAAAGCCTCTGCATAACATGTTTTATTGCCTAATTATTTCACCATATTTCAAGTACTATGTTACAAAATGTTGCAATACACTAAGGGAGTAGTTTAGTTGTTTAATGGTACTTTACACTGTCAATAAAACATGGGAAATTATATTCCCAGAGTTTAACTATTTTAAAAGGAACCAGAGGACATATATAAAGTCACATTATATTAGTAGTAGTAGTATTATATAGTATAAAACATGTGACATTGAAAATTATTGTTTAAATAACATAGTTTTGAATATTCTATGCACTTTGTCTAGAAGGTCATAAAAACATCAAAATACTAACTAAAGCTCTGTGTACTGCTTATAGGAACTGCAAGCAGACTTTGAGGGTCGCAACCCTGAAGACTGTGACTTCCACGGCATTAAGCAACTTCTACGTCAACTGTTCCTGAAATCCAATGTAGACCTGGGAGAATTAGCACAGATTATCATTTGTAAGCTTGTAAAAAATTACTATTAAATAGTAATTAAAATTACTATTAAAGAATAATTTTATATTATTCTGTTGTTATAGAAAAAAGCTAGAGTTGCAAAATTTACTTCCAGAGATTTGCTTTGTAGCACTTTTATAATTTTTCAAATTTCTATCCAATTATTTAATTAAATGCCTTTGTCTTCTTGAGGTGCCTCTCCGACTAACGAAGATTGGTGATCAGTTCTCCATTTTGTCTTGCTAACTAGTAAATCATATTTCATGGTTTGCAGCACAAAACTATGTAGGCAGTGTTGTGAAGCAATGCCTGGATGATGGGCAGGATGATGATGATGAAGACGATGATGGGAGTGATGGAGTCTTTGGAGTCACCACTGTTATAAATATCACTAAAAGAAAAGTAAGTTTTGTTGTAATATGTCTGAATTTTGACACTTAATTAAAACAAATTGTCATCTCTTTTTCAAAGAATGAGTTGAGACAATGTTTTATACAAGTAATTCAACAGTGGGAACTCACAAAGTAAACTCTTGTATCATTTTAGGATGAAAGCTGTGTACAACAAATAAGAACTTTGTTGATGACACTTGCTGAAGAAAATGCAAATGACAAGACAAAAGCTTTGGTTAATAAAATTCTGTCAGATGATGATCGTCATGTTGGCCTGGTAATTAATGAAAGGTAAATCTTACTTGGATTGATAGTATTGATAGTTGTTACTAACTCTAGGGGTACTAGACAAAGTTAATTTGCTCCGAAGTGATTCCATAACAAGCTTAAAAAATGTATAGAACTGATCATAAGTCTCAATATGTCAAGTAATTGTAACTGGTCAGTTCCATACATATATTCAGAATCATTATGTAGTCTCTTCAGAGCGAATGTAATTTGTCTAAGCGTCTAAAATGGCTAAACTGATCTGTATATTTGGGATAGAGAGATTTTAGTCAGAAATAACAAAAAAAAGCTGTTATCCCCAAAAAATTACTGCAATAAACATTTTTTATATAAACATATTTTTTCATATAATCTAATGCTTTTACCTTTGTTTTAGGATCCTAAACATTCCAGCTGCCATAAGCGTACCACTGTTTGCGTCTCTGCAGTCAGAACTAGAGAAGGCAGTGAAGAGAGACATGCCATATACATTCCAATACCTAATATGGATATGTAAAACATATAATACTGGAGGTCTGTATTATGTTATTTATATTATAAAGGCGAATGTTTGAATGGATGGATGTTTTTTTGAAGATATCTTGAAGATAGCTGACATGTTTGACAGCTAGTTTTAATATAAACCTACATATTATGACTGTATATATGTTGTCATAATACAAAACATAATAAAAAATAAAAATTGCTTATATCAGGCCTAATGCCCATAACATCCTCCCTTCTACTAATTCTCATTGAAACTAAGATAAAGTTTTTTTAATGTTTCATTTAAAAAATATGACTTGATAAAACATACCTTCATATAATTATTATGTGATGTTATTTTCTCTTATTTCTAGAGGATAGTTCAGAAGTGTTGTTTGCCAATCAAGAGGAAAAACCCTTATTAGAAGAAGCTTTAGCAAGTTTTGAAGTGGATGTGACTGAACAGGCTGATCTGTCGCAATGGGATTATGAAGGAGGTGCATTGACGCCCTGCAGGAAGGTATGATCTTTGTTATATAACAAAAAAAAGTTTATATGAGGTTCCAAACTTGTGTAGAAAATAGTCTTCTATAAAAATTAAAAGATATTACTAACACTTTAACTTCTTACTAATATTATAAATGCCAAAGTTTAGATGGATGGCTGGAGGTTTGTAAGGTATTTCCAGAATGGCTGTATGGATCTCGATTAAATTTGGCACAGATGAAGGACATAGTCTGGTAGAATACATAGGGTACTAATTAAGTTTCATTTTTACTTCGTGCTGACAGAGTCGCGTGCGATAGCTAGTAAAAACCAAATGCCATGCATTTGAACACGTCAACCTTAGATTTGTTACCCAGTGGTAACAAGTTGTGGATTTTGATTTAGTATCTTATTCGTTCTTTTAATATATATGTTGAATGTCTTTGTACAAAAGTAATACCTTAATTATCTATAGTTGAACCATCAGAGTTTTATTTATGAATATATTGACTACACAAATAAAGTAACAAAGTTCTTTGTTCAATAATAAATTAACTATTGCAGGTTCTTATATTCGACGGCAGCAAATTTAACAACTTGGTGCGACTCCTTAAAGAAGAGGTGGAAAATGTTTAATTATTGCCTTAACTATATGCCATATAATTAAAATATACTATTGTATTTATACTTTATTATTAAATGTAAGCACACAAACCTTGTTTTTCTTTGCCTTTGTAATACTGAGAGCATTTGTCCTTGAGTTTTCACTGTTCAATGACATTTTAAAATGATTTTTATAAACCTTTTCGCAGCCATAGTCTTCTATACAAGAGACCAAATGCCAAGCCATGCCATCCTTTTACAAAACATGAAATATACATAATAATTATTGTATCTTGATAATATTGATTATCAAACTTAAAAGCTTATTGTCTAAAATATAAATAAACATTAAAAAAAGGTAATTATTAATTTAATTTATTTATTTGCATAAAATATTTATCGTTAAATATTTAATTAAAATGGAAGAAGTTATCAAGTAAAACATAATATTCAGATCATAATTTTTAATATGTCTTTAAAACATTGATTTACATATTCTTGTATATAGCGAGTGCATCCCTCATCATATAATCTCTTAGTACACATATAGCTTTTACTATCTTCGTATTTTGATCCATTTTCTGTATGTCATTATCTGTTAGAGTCTTGTCATATGCTAGATATCCATTGACAGCGTCTTCTGACATCCATTGTGACAGTTTATGCACGTTGAACTGAGCAGGGTCGGGATTGGATGGCATCGGTGTTAATGATTTCTCCCAAGGTGTTATATACTTTTGCTCTGAATGTAGACCTTCAATATACCTGGTGATTGAGACTAGGTTCAACATTTGTATGTTTAAGGTATTAGATTTAAGAATTTTATGAACAAGATAAATTCAATTGTGGATTAATCCATTGAAGACATCTGACTAAGTTATTGCATTTACACACACACCCGTAAAAGACTTTACACTTTCTGAGTTTCGATATACTATTAAATTACTTGTCATGACCGAACAGAACACTAAGTTAGAATTGAATAGGTATTTACTAAGCTAGTGCGTACTATCCTTAAATCACACACTATAAAGTGGGTTTGTGGTCAGGCACTGGTTTATTCAATATAAAAAAATATGATGTTTTCTTTGACAACTACCACTGTTAACATTTCGATGCAAATATCTTAGGATCTATAGTACACTTAACATCAAAATAACTGCACAAAAGTATATACTCGCCTTATGTAAGCTTCAGAGTGGGTAAGTCGTTGTGCTCTGGGAGGTGCAGCTACGAATATTGGTTCGGGGCCTGAGCGCGCGCTCGCAGCACCCTCAGCGCTAGACGTGATACCACCGCCAGCGCCCGGCGACGGACTGTTGCGTGCCATTGGCGACATGCCGGATAACGACGCTGTAATGTTAGATTCCTATTAATACAAAGATTTTTAGTGGATTATAAGAGTACTAGCTGTCGTCCGCAACTCCTTCCGCGTTGAATGGAAAAAATAAATTTGTAGCCTATGTGTTCTTCCAGACTATATTCCATACTGCTACATTTCAGGAATATCCATGCAGCCGTTCTGGAGAACCTTCAAACAAACATCTATTCATCCAAACATTGGCATTTATAATATAAGTAAGATTAAGATA